TATTTATTTATTTTTTTTATTTGATGTTGCCTGCAACTATTGAAATTTTAGGGTTTATAACAAGGGGCAAAGTATGTGTAGTTTATATATTCTGCTTTTCTTCTTTTTCAGCTTCATACTTGGTTTGTTTTGTCAATTCTGTACTTCTGTGTTTAGTTTTTCATTATTTTTCATTTATTATTTTCTAAACTTTTTAAAGAATAATAATTTAGTTTTTTTTTTTGTTCTTAATTTTAGTTTGGTTTATTTAACATTTACATTTAATGTTTTCATAAGGTAGGACATGTGAATGCTCTCTGAAAAATGAAGAATATCTATTATGTAAAATTATTAACTTACAGAATTGTTAAAAAAGGACACAAAAATTAAAAGTGAAAAAACGGACAAACTACAAAATATTAAATTATAAATTTACCTTAAATTTTGTTAAATTTGTTATTATGTAATGTTTGAGAAATTCTATTTGATGGAAAAGTTAAGTAGAGAAAAAATTTAGCAAAAAAAAAAAAAAAAAACAAAGTTGTGCATATTGCCAAACTAAAAGTTGCATAGATTAAATAGATTAAAATAATATATGACGTGTATCAATAATTAATGAAAGATTTAAAAAATACAAATAATTATTATATATAATTAACTCCCAGAATAGTTAGTATCAAAGACAACTTTTGATACGTATTGAAAATACATTTAACCACTTTATAGAGAATTTTAATTTCATGGTATAATATTTATAAAAAAAATGCATTATAAGTTATATAACTCTGTGGAACATGTAATTTTGACATAATATAAGTTGAATTTTTCTACTAATTTTTTCTGTCTGAGTTAGGCACTAATTCAAATAAACTCTAGTTTTTTCATTAAACTAAATAAATACTTAAACATTTTTGAGACAAGAAATTCAACTTCAGACAAAAAAAAGATTTTACAGATTCATATGAAACAACATTGTTACCACAAGTAGAAATTATAACAGTATTATAAACACAAAAAATGAATAAGTTCAAATCGAAAAACTATTTTTACCACAAATTATATTATTATGATAAAAATTATATAAAATGATTCTGAAAGGATAAGAGAATACTGTTACCAAACAGTCAATGCACCAACCAGCTAAAAGCCTAAAACTAATTTGTCGTTTTATGTCTCTCCTCTTTTTCTCATGTATGTAAGAGAGACATGATAATTTTATCCTCAAGTGGGAAATTCACGACGAAGACGAACTGTTTACTACCAAATTATATGGGAACCGAAAATATTCCCATGGAGGACGGAGACAAAGACATTTTTTTTTATTAAATAGAGTTACTATATGGTAAAAATTTATATATTAAGTTCAAATCTGATATATTGGTGTGACTACTTTATTTCTGTTGCAATGTTTTTGAATTAAATAATTTAGATGGATGCATGAAAAGATTCAGCATTTTAACAATTTATATTTAACATGTTGGATAACTTGGTAAGTGTGATTCTTTCATTTTTTTGAAATAGTTTTTTTTTTTTTTTTTGTTTGTATAGAAAAAACATACTTTTAATTAAATTGTTTCTTCTAGAATAAAATAGACAAATAAGAATTCCCGTGGGAAAATGGAGATTCCCCATTTTTCAAGTTGGGATGAGAAACAAATTCAGGGAGGCTGGCAGGAAGGGAGACGTAAGGGCGAACCTGCTCTCTTGCCACTCCTCTAATTATTCTCTTCTTTCGATTTCTGGATTTTTTAACAGTGAAATCCTGGTATTCTTTGCTTTTCTCCGTTTCGCTGTTGTTTTCCCTCTCTATCCATCTGTAAGAAAATCCAAGCAGAAAGCTAAAGAAAACGAGGAAAAGAAGAGGAAAAATGGATGTCTTAAGGGCATATTTTGGCTTCTAAACTCCCAGATATCATCTAGGTTCTTCTGAAAGAGTGATCTTTAAAGCTCAGAGAAGCAATCAAGGAGTTTTCTGCTAAGTAGTGAAAGAATAAAGAGAGAGAAAGTGGAGGGTAAAAAGGCCAAACTAAAAAAGAAAAATAAGAAGAACAAGAACAAGAAACCCTAGCTCACCAGAAAACAAGAAACTGGGATATACGAATAGTGAGCACTCTCAGTATTATTTTTAACCTGAAAGCTATTGGACATTATTGGTGGTTTTCTTTCTTCATCCAAAGGGCTAATGAAGGGGCAAAAAAGTGAAAAATATTTGAGAAGAAGTGAAGTTAACCTGACCCTATAAAGATGCAGAAAAATGTTTACCCACCTCAAAAGTTTATATGATGAGATAGCAATGAGATCTTGACATGTCATTACTCCACTGTGTGCCCTAAGAGGGAGATCCAAGAAAAAAAATAACCTGCAGAGTGGTTGAGACTCTGGATTTCTGATAGTTCTTTTCATGATATATCCACCTGTTAAACCATACTGAGATATTTGGTGAAGAAAAGAATTAACCCTAGAGAAGGGGATCAAGGTGGGTCTTCACAAAACTACTGGCTGAAAAACCCTAGAGAGGGAAACAGTGTAAAGTGGGGCAGATTACAGAGCTTGAAAAGGCAGCAGTAATGGCGGATGGTGAAGTTTCTGGCCGGCAAAGTGAATTGGTTTGTCTTTGAGTGGTTGGACTAATATTGTAAAAGTGGAAAACACCTAACTAGAGGATGAATGACTAAAGAGAGCACTACAAGGCTACTGCAATTTTTTTTGTACCATTTTTTTTTTCTGCACAAGACAGGGAAAGAAAGAAGACAGTGACCTTTTGCTTTTGGGGGGGCTGTATCTAGCTAGTCTTAACCAACCCATTACTGGTGTAAAGAAATTATTGTTCCCAGCACTTTCGTTTCTTTCTTTATTAATCAGTCCAGTCTTATACTCTCTACCTCTTTCATTTTTTCCTCTTCTCGTACTTTCATTTTCTATTATAGAAAATTTATTGCTTCTTCTCTTTCAAATTCTCTTGGTTTTGTTTGGCCCTAGCTTTTTTTTTGTTCCGTATTATTTGCATCAGGAAAGCATTCCTTTTATTTTTTTTATTTTTTTCTTTTTGATCATATGGCGGAGAAAGAAATAAGAAGGTTTATGAGAATTTTGTATCTAAACTCCTAAACTAACTGATTTTTAATTTTAGAGTTTTTGTATTTTACCGAAGGAGCATCCTCTCATTAGGTATAATCTAGTTATCTATCCCCAACTAACCATGCATATCATATTCCTATCTCAATTTAGGTCTTCTATTTTTGGACCATAGATAGACAAAAGCATAGGATAGTACTTGGCAGTCTAATATCATTTCAGATTTAAAGATTCTTAGTTTTAGATCTTGTGCGGCTGGTTAACATTTTCTCCTTTCGATAAAGAAATTATCTGAAACTCTCATAAAAAACTGTTTGTTGTCGTAGTTCTGATTAGTAATGTTCATAAGTGTGTCACTAAAACAAGTGAAATATATATAGTTTCAAGAAAAGTTTGTCTTTCTACTAACAATTAGCATACAAAAATTAACATCAGATGGGACGTAAAAAATATGGGTAAAACTTGATGAATAAATTTAAGTACCGACTCAAGTTTCACTTGTAAATTAAGTGGGACAGACTACTACTAACTAAATAGAAGATATTTTGCATAGTTTTGTTGGTATACAAAGGCACATCCCTCTACGTTTGAGCAAATATTTGACAGATTTTAGAATAACAATAATTTTAATGGTTAGTATTTCTTATTAGTCATAACTATCTAAATACTAAATAGTAATATACAATAAATTAGTAATATATAGTCCAAATCGATGTCAGTATGATCTAGATCTCGTGCAGTGCAGGCACATGCAAATCAAATAGGAGAAAGTATTCCATTCTAAATATACCTAATTGAAAAAAAATTCAGACCAAGTAATTCTTGTATTTCTAATCAAAACTACAGGAACTTATATCATTATCTCCTGAATTTTGTGATTTAATATATATTATGCTCACTCGCTAATAAATTTAGTTACTTTCTTTTTTCATGGAAGAGAAAATATTATTAGACAAAAAAAATTAATTATTATCTCATCCCACATGTATATTGTAAAACAGATGACCTTTGGATGAAATACACGAGATAGACATGTGTGTACATTATACTGAGAATTACTTTTGAAAAACTATGCACCTATTAATCCATTTGTACACATAATTAAAAAACGGATGACAATTAAACAAAGTACACAAGATACAAACAGATAAAAATTACACTAAAAATAGCTTTTAATGTAATGTGCAAAATCAATAATACTAATTTAATATTCAAAAGTCATTCTCGATATAAGTTATGTGACTTTTAATCATACTATACAATAAAGAATTGACTTCCATAGTAAACCACCATCATCATTTAGCCACTAAGATAGGTTCTTGCGATGAAGATTCTCAATACCTAGATCATTCCCCTCAAAATTCAAAAACCAATATACCTTCCTTAAACTAAATAATCCCTAGGAGTTAAACTTGAGCTCAACCAGGAAATTCTTTATCACCCTCTCCCTATTCTTTATCACATTTATTCATTTGCTCTTGTGCAAACATAATTCACATAGTTTCTAATTTCTATCTCATACTGATGGAAGTGTACATTGAACTCATTTACTTTAACTTGAGTTTTCATGGAATAGATGGAAGAATTGATTAGTGAGTGAACAATCGTTCCTAATTGATCCTCAGATGATAAAACTTTGGAGCTATCTCTCACTCCAAAACGAGTAAAGGTTAAAAAGTTGTAGCAAACTAGAGATAGTCTTCTGTAGACTTGTTTGTTAGAGAGAGTTACTAACAATCACATCTTATCTATTCGTTTAACTTCTATGAACACTTATAATCACTTTTTGCCATAATGAATTAAGTTTTTGTGTGTCATAATCGTTTAACTAATAATGACAATTTTTTTTTTAATCATAGGTTTTCAATATCCAAACCACCAAAAATATTAGATTGACAACACAACTTCTAATTAACTAGATCTCTATGTTCCTTCTCTATTTTTATCCATAGAAACTTCCTTATAGCTCCCTCTACTCTTATTGGTATCCTAAACATTGACAAATAATAAAGTAGGATGCTAGTTAAACACGCTTGTATTGGATTAAGACTTTCAAGGCTTAACTTAGAAATGACCTTTTTAGTTTTCTTCATTTTCATCCCATAGCCTAACCCATTTATGTTCCAACTAATAATAGTTTATTCTTATCACTATGTTCCTATTTTTGTAAGTTATTTCTTCTTTCTTTGCACTTATGTCTTTTGTGAAATTGCTACTCTCATTTCCTTTCTCAGCTCTTCCATAAGTCTAAAATCCAAACTTCTTGAAAAAGACATTAGGATTTTTTGCATAATATTTGTAAAGATTGGTTTTAATGTCACTATATTTTATAGGAGTATTTGATTTCTTATACCACCACGAGTGAATGAGGCTTCTTGTTAGTTTTCTGTAATGGATAGAGTACAATTACCGTGGATTACTTTATACTATTTATAATACCTAACTATTACTCAACAAGGTTGGGATCAGAAAGAGTTTCAGATTTATGGTTGAATGCGAGTTAGAATGAATGGACAAAGCAATTATGAGATAGTTCAAAGTTCATACTATATTCTATACTTTATTTTAAAAATGAGATAGTTCAAAGTTTTTATCAATATAAAAACATAAACGAAAAAAAAAGAGGTAGATACTTTCTTGAATAAAGAATGTTGTTCAATTTCAATAATGACNNNTCCCCCAAAGGTAGATGAAATAAAACACTCAAGATTGCTAAAAATAGCCCAAGCCATTTTAGAAATATTAAAAAGTGGAGATTACAACTTCCAAGGTATATTACAGTGCAAATAGATATGGCATTGATATTTTTGTAGCTTGATAACACATGAGATATACCCATGAAGACAGCGAGACGTGATCTAAATGTTTTAGTATTTAGCCTATTTAAGACAAAAGTCCAAAAAACACTTTTCTTTAGAGGGAGTTGGGTGACTTCAAAGCCCAAACTTAAAAATTAAGAAAGGGTGACAAAACTCAAAAGTTATAGCTAAGAGATAATTTAAATGGCTTTACAGTCTTAAATTATGAAAAAATATATGTTTCAAGAATGAAAATAATTTGAGATATCATAAAATACGAAATAAAAGCTTTTATTTAAAAAAAAAAGAAGAAATGAAAGCTAAATGATTTTAAGACAAATTATATAAATAAGATAAATAATTAACTAAGATAACATCTTTTTATCCAACGATCTTCCTAAAAGAGATTGAGAATTATCTCCCACTCTTAAATTGAGAAGGAGAGTGAGTAAATATCTCCTACATACTAGAAATGGCCTTCTAGAGGGCTCTAGCAATAAGTTAAAATACTAACTTTCGCATGCCAACCATTTTATTGCAGATTGAACTTATTTTTAACCACCATGTGATACAAAGAGTTAGATTTAGAGAAAACCACAATAACTACTTAGTTAATAATAACAAGTTTTTACAATATTAATTCCTAATATCTGAAGCCTCCTTCCACTTTGGGTAAACAATGCACCTTCTAATTAACTAAGTAATCTCCATAATTTTTATTTGAACTCAACCAAAAGAAATTCTCCGTCACCCTCTCTAAATTTTTTACAACACCCTTAGGATAAACAAAGAAAAACAATAAAGCGAAGTACTAGAGAAACACACTTGGACAAAAGTAACTCTACCATGCATAGAGAACAAAAATCTTTTTAACTCTCCAACTTAGAGATCTTATGACAAATAAATCATCAAATTTCAAAAAGAAACCACCTGGGGATCAACCCCCCCAAATTAAGGAACTTTTTGCAGCGCCCTTGGATAACATGCGTATAAATATGGATTTTGATGAGAGATGATGTAAATAGGTAGAAGCTTGTGTCACCATTGCATCTTTTATAGTTATGGTTAATGGTGGTTCATCATCATTTTATTAAGTATCTAGAGGACTTAGACAAGGAGACCCTTTATCTCTCATTCTTTTCATTGTGACCATGGAAGCATTGAATAAAATATTGATTAGAGCCTGAGAGATATATCTTTCAAGAGGACTTAAAGTGGGAGGAGGTGATAATACTAAGGAAGTAATTCATTTATTTTTACCAGATTATGCCACAATATTTTATGAAAAAGACAAGAAAACCATGTTCAATCTCAGGTATATATTGATGAGTTTTCATACGGTGTTGGGTCTTACCATTAATCTCACTTAATCATAGATGGTTAGATTCAGAGACGAGAGAGATAGAGATAGCTTGATAAGAGTAATGGGTTGTAAGGTAGTCAAATTTCAAATCAAGTACTTAGGCTACTATTGAGTGCCAACTTTAAAAAGGTAGAGACATGGGATCTTGTGGCAATAAAATTTAAAAATAAGTTGATTGGATGGACAAGAACTCTCTTATCAAAGGTTCAGAAACATATAATCAAAAGCACACTGGGTAATTTACCCATTTATTATGTCTCTTCTGACTATGTCGGTTAGTGTGGCCAAGAAATTAAAGAATATACAATATAGATTCCTTTGGGGTAATTCGAAGGACAGAAATAAATTTTATTTAATTGTCTAAAAAGAGATTAAGAAGCCATTTTCCAATTGAGGCCTGAGATTATAATCTCTAGTAGAGATGAATGGTACACTACAGGGAAAGTGGCTTTGAAGATTTATAAAGGAATAATGAATGTTACAAAGAAAGGTGATATAAGCAAAATTTGGTACAACCATGAGAGGTTGGTATGCGGGTGTTATGACGAGACCAAATAGTAAAAGTTTGTGGAAAAAATTTGCATGGATCACGACAAATTTTAGGAATGCATTAAATGATTAGTTGGTAAGGGGGATATAGTTAGATTGTGGCAAGACAAGGTAGATCCATGAGAGACTAATATCCTCAAATCTTTGTCAATGCACAACAAAAAGACATCTTAGTTAGTGATGCTTTTAGAGACTTTGGGGGAGGAGAGAAGGTGTGGCAAATTACTATGATGGGAAATCTCGATGATTGGGAAACTTCATAACATCTCTTATGTGCTTGGATGTTAGTAACAATTGTCTAGCGTGGTTTTTGACTAAGAATGAGGTTTTTTCGGTGAAATCTTATTATAAGTTTTTGATAAACGTGAAGATAATGGCATTGAATTCTTGGTTAGATAAATTTAAAAGGTCCAAGTCCCCCATAGAGTATCTTTTTTTATTTGGGAGACCAGCAGGGTATATATTCTAACTATTAATAAATTGATGAGACGAGACAAGTTTTTGATGAATGAATGTAATTTATGTGAAAAGGTTGTAAAAACATGCAATCATTTACTCATTTAATATACGGAAGTTTACAAGTTTTAAGTGGTGATGGCAGAATCGGTTAGAGATGAGTTATGGTTGTGGAAAGGTATTCGTGAGAGGACATATGCGGACCTTATTTCAATCACAATTTTTTGGGTGATTTAGAAGAAGAATGTAAGAGCTTTTGAAGGGATGGAAAAGGATAATGGTTTTGATTTAGTTAAGAATAGACAGTTTTGAAGCCTTGAGTTTTTATTAAGTAGGTGATGACAGAATCGATTAGAGATGAGTTATGGGCATGCAAAGGTATTAGTGAGAGGAGTAAATACGCAGACCTCATTTCAATCATAATTTTTTAGGTGATATGAAAGAAGAAGAATGTAAGAGCTTTTGAATGAGTAGAAGAGGATATGTGGACCTCATTTCAATCACAATTTTTTGGGTGATTTGGAAGGAGAAGAATGTAAGAGCTTTTGAAGGAATAGAAGAGAATAATGGTTTTAATTTGGTTAGGAATAGATAATTCTGAACACTTGAGTTTTTGTTATTGGGTCATGCTTATACTCTATCGAAGATTTAGGGAATTTTATTGACTTATTAATAGATTTGCAAATATTCTATATATGGGTTGATACTCTTTTGGTGTCGTTGTTAATAATATTTTTGATTTGTTTATTTTAGAAAAAAAAAGGACTCCCATACATAAAAGGTCAAGCAAAATATTGCAACCAA